ATTTGATTTTTTGTGTTCCACACAAAAAATAAATGCGGATGAATTTTTCATGTTGATTTTGCGATAGGTCGTGAGAAGAAATATCGTAGGCGCCGAAAACATTAGCCTATCCAACGCTGCTAGGCTAGACCTAGCCCTACCTCGATTTAGGTTCTGTTATCACACATAAAAACGGCCAACATGATATTTTCCGTTGCTAGTATTGACACTTGTGAAATATAATATTTCATAGGAATTATTTCAACTTTGTTAAAAAACTGATTCTGACTGAGATTTTGACACTTAAACAAACATATCTCAGCCTTACCGAAAGACCGCATTGTGCGAGATGCGAAGTACAAAAAGTAATCTCATTAGAGAGGGCGCTCTTTATTGACTGTATAAAGTATACATAAAAGCGAGAGTATTCCAGTGGATGCGATCTACAACCTCTGAATTTGCCTAGTAACGATGAATTCGTCGAGAAAATGGCAATATTTTATGAGAAATAGTCTGTATTTGTCATTTTTTTTATTCTTTTGCGTAAAACTAAAATTCATGCCAATATTTTTCCATGATTTATAATAATTGGAGTAATGCAAATGCATATTTTCTAAAAAAAGTCATTTTTAGTGAAATTTTGCCGGGAATGGGGCTTTAACAACACATCTGACTATAAACTGTTCCCCCCCCCCCACCTCTAAATTGTGATTCTACTAATGTTATTTACCTTATATCATGCACACTTTGCAACAAAGGCCATTACATTGGTGAAACGGGTAATAAATTCCGCCTACGATTTAATAACCATAAACATTCCATCCGCAATAACACCCCTGGTTTCCCTGTAGGGGACAACTTTAACTCCCCCCACCACAATATTCACCATCTCAAAGTGACTCTCATAGCCAGTAACTTCCGTTCTACTGAACACAGACAACGAGAAGAACTGAAATGGATTTTAAAACTCAAAACACACACTCACGGCCTCAATAAAGACTTGGGATTCATCAGTGAATTTTCCTTCTGCCGCTAAATATTCTTCTCTTAGTTTTCAGTCACTTTTAATTATAATTTTATTTCTATTTATTCTGGTTTTATTATTATTATTCTGTTAGACCTATTCATTATACATTATTGTTGGTATTTTCACTCTAGCTTATACTATTGTAGAACTTATCTGTT